GGGGGGGGGGGGACGGAGTCTCAGTTTGGCAAGATGGAAAGTTCTAGAGACTGAGGGTGGGGATGGTGGCGTGGTGTGAGTGTGCTTAACGCCACTGCAAATGATTCAAATAGTAAATTTTGTGTTCTGTATATTTTATCACGATGAAAAACCGAAACCTCCCTCGCAAGAACTGGGCCTTTGTTCTCCGAACCTGGCACCCAGTAGGTGCCCAAATAATGGTCGTTGAGTAAATGAAAGAGGAGAGGTCATCTGTCCCCAGCAGATGGAGGGACAGACAGAGACACAGAGAAAGCGTGTTCAAGCCCGAAGCCAGCACCTTCTCTTTGTCTGTCAATCATGCTTCAAAGCAGTGGTTCTCAACTGGGGGTGATTCTGGCCCTCAGGAGGCATTCGGCGATGTCTGGAGACATTTTTGGCGGTCGTGACTAGGTAGAAGGGGGGACTACTACTGGGAGCCAGAGGCTAGAGGCCAGGGATGTTGCCAAAGACCCTGCAATCTACAGGACAGTCCCCCACCCCAACAACAAGGAATCATCCGGCCCCAGTGCCAACAGAACTGAGAATGAGAAACCCGGTTTTAAAGCCACCTCCTCCTGCAAGCCCTTTGGGATTTGACACACCCACTTCCCTCCCGCCCCACACACCCCCTCCTTCCTTTCTCCCTTTTGCAACACCAGGAGGGACCGATCAGGTGGGGAGAGCCGGGGGCTGGGCCACCAGGGTGGGGTTGGGGTCAGCGTGGATGTTCCTTCATCACATTGGAATTGAACGTGGGGCCCTGTTCTAGGTGCTGAGGTTCTAAATTTAGAGGTTGAGGCTCCTCTCCGCACAGAGCACAGGTGAGAGGGTTGGGCATCCGAACACCCTTGGGGGTGAGTTGGGGTTGAATAGCGTCGGGCCGGGGCCAGGGTGGGGACCCGCCCGGGGATCGTTTGTGGTTGTTGCAGGACTCCTGACTCGTTCCTCCTGCGTCCAGATCCAGGTCTGTGCCGAGCGGGGGCCGGGGCGGGGGGGCTGGGGGG